ACTCTTATTCAGACATTCTACACCACAGGCATTACGGTGCCTTTTTCTTTTTTTTTTTCTGCATCAAAAACGCATAGATAGGTTGCATGGTTTCCAGTGGCATAGTTCACACCACTGTTGGTCAGTTCCAGGGCACTCCAGATCCAGAAAAAAAAACTGCATTTTATTGTTGCACTGAACTGTACCAGACCTCTGTAAAATTCTTCAAAAACGCACCGGAATACACCTAAAATGAACATGTCCTTATTTAAGGTGATGAAAAAAGAGGGGAAAAATGCACCGGAACACTTAAAAAGCGTGCATGCAGAATCACATCCGGAATGTGTTTCTATGGTGTGAACAGGCCCTTAAATTGCAAAAAAAGATCACAATCACAGAGAAATATAATGTTTCACAGGTGCAAGATGGGTAATAGGCACTCCGGAAACACACTGGAAATGCATCAAAAGTGTGGCAAAAAGGCATATGCTTTTTTTTTTTTTTTTTTTGAATGGAGCAGTGAGAAAGCTGCCTAATGGTGGCCATACACAATGTGAAAAATGATCCATTTATTTTACAATCAATTCCTCCAGATAGCAGCAATCAATCTATAGTAAACGCACATGAGCGATATGCCATAAATGGGATCAATATGTAGGACACTAATGTAATGTATGTCCATAACTTATGGATCACATCTCTGTTTTCCCCATGCAATCTTATAATCCGTTCAATCAAAATATGATCGTATCCATGAGCAAATCATCTCTGTGCACCTGATAGAATAGCTCTGGCAGACGTTGCACACGCTACCCCCGCTACTGTTATCATGGTAATGGCACAACAATATGGAGGCACATAGGACTACAACAGGACTCATCCATGTCTGTTCAAAAACTAACTAAGCCCCGGTTCACACCAGGTGTGGCTTTGAAGCCGCAAAGCCGATCAGTGTGACTTCATGTGGAGCTTGCCGACATTTGTGCAACTTCATAGACACATGACAATGCAAGTCGCACCTGAAATTGCACAAAAATACTGCAAGTGCTTTTTCAAAGTTGCAGCGACTCAAGTTGCACCACTTTTGAATGGTTCCATAGCAGCAAATAGGATGCAACTTTTTAAGTCGCATGACAAGTTGCACCGGGTGTGAACGAGGGCTTAAATTATCATTGTAAGATGCAATGTAGATAGTGAACCTTCCCTCTGTCAGTGCGGTATCCTACATGGTCTTCTCTCACTGTATGGGCTTGTCTGCTTCTTTTTTTTGTTTATGTTGGATAAAGTAAAGCTGGCCATACAATAATCCTTTTTTTTTTTTTTTTTTTGTTTTTTTTTTTTTTTTTTTTTTTTTTTTTTTCAACCAGCAGGTTTAATGAAAAAAAAATGAACCCCATTCACATCACTGCCTCTGTGCTATTGTGTTTTGACAGCGGGGAGTGTTCCCTGCCATCAGGGCAGACTGTTCAGTGTTGTAGGCTATAGATGACAGCACTGATCGATTCGGAAAAACCTGACAGGCTGGTTGTACAGAAGGCGATCGGTTTTTCCTGGTGAACCAGCCAAATTTCGATCCTTGTATGGCTGCCTTAAGGAGAGGGCTTCAAACTGATATTAAAGGCTGATTATTTTTTTTTTAACAAATATGTCATATCTTCCTGCTCTCTGCAGTGGTTTTGCACAGAGCAGCCTCGTTTCTCCTACTCGGGTCCTGCACCAGCACTCCTGGCCCCTCCCTCCTGCCAAGTGCCTCCAGAGTAAGAAACTTGCTATGGGGGCACCCAAGCTTGCTTGCTCCTGAGTCGCTGCTGTCCAGTCACATAGAGAATGGCACGGCCCTGCCCTGACTCTCTCCTCATTGGCTCACTGGCTGTGGTTGACAGCAGCGGGAGCCAATGGCCCCCACTGCTTTCTCAGCCAATGAGGAGGAAGAGACCCCAGAGAGCTGCTTCTCTTCTGCACATCACTGGATCGAGATAGGGCTCAGGTAAGCGGGGGGGAGGGGGGCTGGAAGGGCTGCTGCACACAGAAAGTTGTTTAGCTTCATGCATAGAATATATGAAGGTAAAAAACCTTGAGCCCTTACAACCACTTAAACCACAGATGTCAAACTGGTGGCCCTCTAGCTGTTGCCAAACTACAAGTCCCATGAGGCATTGCAAGATTGACAGTTACAAGCATGACTCCCAAAGGCAGAAGCATGATGGTACTTGTAGTTTCGCAACAGCTGGAGGGCCACCAATTTAACACCCCTGATAACCCCTAATTCATCTGTGCCCATTGGAGAGATGTCTACTCACTTTATGTCCCATAGCCACAACAGCAAGTGGGAGAAAATTCCTCTAAAATCAGGGAATCCCTGGTTGTCACCAGAACTAGTGTCCTCATTTGAGGATATCCCAACTGTTCCTGTTCTGGGGTCCAAAAATTTGGAATTTTCTTTCACTTCCACTCTCGGTAAGAAACTGGTACTTTTCTTTTCTTGACTGGTCTAACTTCTTTTGTGTTCTGTCATCTGTAGGTACCGTGGGGAGGGATACGAGGAGGGCTTTGCCGAAGGAAATCACGTTGGAGAATCGGAAGGCAAACAGTATGGCGCAGTTTATGGGGCAAGAGCCGGATCAGAGGTAAATTTCTCCACTTAGTCTAAACCTAGTCCCAGCCCCCGCAGAGCAATGATTGATTGAACACTTTGCTTGGCTATGGAACTATGGGTGGATATCCATCAGTCAGCAGTATATGTAATAATACCAATCCTGAGCAATGGTACACTGTTCTAATTGGAAGGAGTTGCATGGCACAACAACGTCGTTCTCAAGAAAACGTGAATGAACTTTGTTTGCCCTCGTCTAGTTGTTTCCTGAATTGTTAGTCTTATGATTGCCAGCTTTAGTGCTTTGACACCAAATATAGATACCTTGTCAGTACACCATGTGCTTCTCATTCTTTAATTATAGCTCCTTGGTGTCCCCCCCCCCCCCCCCCCCCCCCCCCCCCCCCCCCCCCCCCCCCCCCCCCCCCCCCCCCCCCCCCCCCCCCCCCCCCCCCCCCCCCCCCCCCCCCCCCCCCCCCCCCCCCCCCCCCCCCCCCCCCCCAGGCTGTGTCCTTCCCAGCCTTACTTTCATTGTAGGCGGGGATTGACCTTTGTCTGTCTAGCCACTTTTTTCACTCACTGGATACATCTAGTTTAAAACATTTTCACTTCAGTAAATGTGCAAATCATTCCTTTTTTTTTCAACAAAGCTTCATAAAGAGTTGGACTCCATGCACACTAGCATTTTTTTTTAAAGCACCTAGAAGCTATTATGAGCATTTTTTTCTGCTCCTGGAAGCTCAGTAGTTTTATCCTATGTGTCCATGCACACTATTTTTAGCCTAGTAGCGTTTTTCAAGCTTCAGCATTTAGGAGCAGAAAAATTGTTTTTGGGAGTGTTTTTCCAACAGTAAAAAAAGGCTACTAAAATGCTCCTAACAGCTTTTTTCTAGCTTTTTTTTTTTTCCCCATGTACTGTAAAAACACTAATAAACCGCTAATTTCCTAAACGCTACTAAAAATGCTATTACAAGTGTTTTTTATCCAGCGTTTTTTTAGCTTAAAAAATGCTAGTGTATATAGAGCCCTAAGGGATTGCTGTACCTTTTATTGAGGTTGTCCTTTAATGAATCCCCCACCACTCAGGGTCAGCCTGCCTGGTTGAATCCTTGCCATCCTCCATGTTCCAGCATTTATCACGTGCAGTCCTGCTTGGCACCACACAACTTTTCAATGGAAACATTTCTAGCCAGGTCCCTCCTGGCCTTGTTCATTCTTAGGGCCTGCGCTGACAAGATTTTTTCACTTTCAGATGGGTTTTGCATTTCCAAAAAAGTTTACGGGAATGCCAAACTTGCTTGAAGCAGGTCAAATGCAGGTCGGAAGTAAACAAGAGGGAATCTGCCTGGTTTTGTTTACCAATGGTTTGGGAAATCCTGGAGGCAAATCCCATTGAAATCTAAAGGAGATGAATCTTGTTAGTAAGTTCTGGCCATTTTTAGGACTAAAGTTGGCCATGCACGTATAGATTTTCGTTCGAGAATTTTCTTTTCAAGAATATTTGTTTTATTTTCTAAACTTTGGTGGGGTCAAATCGATGCTTGTTTTCGACAGCAGTGAAGGGAACATTCGAAGGGGTAGGAAGGAAAATTTTTCTCGATCAAACGAATTTTCAGCCAGTATATGTGGTTATCATTCAGAAATTACATTCATTTTAAACTTGAATGTTAAAAGCAAAAGACAATTTTCGAACGACATTCGTCCATTCAGCGAATGTTCAAAGGATTTTCGTACGAATATTCTCATCCGAAAAGCTGCAATGCATCCAGAAAGTATTCACAGCTCTTAACTTTTGCCACATTTTGTTATGTTACAGCCTTATTCCAAAATACTTTAAATTCATTTTTTCCCTCAACATTCTACAAACAATACCCCATAATGACAACATGAAAGAAGTTCGTTTTGAAATCTTTGCAATTTATTAAAAATAAAAAACTAAAAAAAAAAAACCCCAAGTACATAAGTGTCCACAGCCTTTACTCAATACTTTGTTGAAGCACCTTTAGCACCAATTACAGCCTCAAGTCATTTTGATTATGATGCTACAAGCTTGGCACACCTATTTTTGGGCAATTTCTCCCATTCTTCTTTGCAGTACCTCTCAAGCTCCATCAAGCTGGATGGGGAGCGTCGGTGCACAGCCATTTTCAGATCTCTCCACAGATGTTCAATCGGGGTCAAGTATGGGCTCTGGCTGGGCCACTCCAGGACATTCACAGAGTTGGCCCGTAGCCACTCCTTTGTTATGTGGGCTGTGTGCTTAGGGCCGTTGTCCTGTTGAAAGATGAACTGCCGCCCCAGTGTAAGGTCCAGAGCGCTCTGGAACAGGTTTTCATCAAGGATGTCTCTGTATATTGCTGCATTCATCTTTCCTTCAACCCTGACTAGTCTCCTAGTTCCTGGCACTGAAAAACATCCCCACAGGATGATGCTGCCACCACCATGCTTCACTGTAGGGATGGTATTGGCCAGGTGGTGAGCGGTGCCTGGTTTCCTCCAGACATGACGCTTGTCATTCGGGCCAAATTGTTCAGTGTGTTTGCTTCAATAGACCGGGGAGTTTTGTTTCTCATGGTCTGAGAGTTCCTCAGGTGCCTTTTGGCAAACTCCAGGCGGGCTGCCATTTGCCTTTTATTGAGGAGTGGCTTCCGTCTGGCCACTCTGCCATACAGGCCTGATTGGTGAAGTTCTACAGAGATGGTTCTTCTGGAAGGTTCTCCTCTCTCCACAGAGAAACGCTGTAGCTCTTTCAGAGTGACCATCGGGTGCTTGGTTACCTCCCTGGCTAAGGCCCTTCTCCCTCGATCAATCATTTTGGCAAGGTGGCCCGCTCTAGGAAGATTCCTGGTGGTTCCAAACTTCCATTTACGGATGATGGAGGCCACTGTGCTCATTGGGACCTTCAATGCTGCAGACATTTTTCTGTACCCTTCCCCAGATCTGTGCCTTGATACAATCCTGTCTCGGAAGTCTATGGACAATTCCTTGGACTTCATGGCTTGGTTTGTGGTCTGACATGCACGGTTAACTGTGGGACCTAATATAGACAGGTTTATGCCTTTCCTAATCGTCCAATCAACTGAATTTCCTACAGGTGGACTCCAATCAAGTTGTGGAAACATCTCAAGGATGATCATTGGGAACAGGATGCACCAGAGGTCAATTTTGAGTGACATGGCAAAGGCTGTGAATACTTGGGTACATGTTTTTTTTTTTTTTTTTTTTTAATAAATTGCAAAGATTTTAAAACAAACTTCTTTCACGTTGTCATTAAGGGTTATTGTTTGTAGAATGTTGAGGAAAAAAATGAATTTAATCCATTTTGCAATAAGGCTGTAACATAACAAAATGTGACAAAAGTTAAGCGTTGTGAATACTTTCTGGATGCATTGTACATGTGTATGGCCAGTTTAATAGCAAAGCTATTGTCAAAAGAACGCATGGGAAGCTGGGCACCGCCATGGAGGTCATGTAACATTTCCAGAAAACGTTTTTTCTGTGGTCTTTTCATGCAGCTTTGAAGGGAGGCGTTGAAAATACACAAACTCTTTAAAGGTCAATAATCAATAGAGAAGATGGGACTTTCTGGGTGCATAGACATGAATACCACACATAAAAAGTTATATAATTTTTATTTCGTATTTGGTAAAACAAGAAAGGAAAAGATACAAAAACATAAAAACAATTTCAATTCTAAGAATACCAACTGAGATTCAGACTTGGTTAGGTAAATGTAGTATACTCCCTACATGTTTTCGCCCTCACGGGCTTCTTCAGGGGAGATTTTTGAGTACATTTCTTCCGCCAAGGCAGTCCTGGATGGGAAAGCTCGGAGCTAGAAGAAAATGACCTAAAAAATCTTAATTGGCCTACACGTCCAAAACAGTTGTAGAGGATATAATGGGCATCAGATATCATCTGTTAGATGCTTTAGGATGTATAGGTATAACCTAACAAAGATTTATTTGACCTATATGTTCACAACCATAAGAAAGGAAACAATGGACATCAAACATCCATCTATGGAAATTGCAGAGAAATATGGAAATATGTTCTGTCTAGAGGTATAATTGGCCTACAATGTCCACATAGGGTTGAATAATATAATGGGCATCATATATCCATCTAAGCATAATGGGATTAGTTGAAAAATATATAATGGGCATCAAATATCCATCTGTTAAATATTGCAATTCAAGTAGCAAGGAAAATGTAGGGAAAAGGGGATTTTAATTGAGGATCACTTTTCAATTCCACCACCAGATATCAGTAAAGGACAAAAGTCCAGACGATATTAGTTCCGTTCAGATCCAATACAGCCTCCAAGATACTCAGTGTGCACTGGTGATTAGCAGAAAAAAAAATTTTAACGGATGTGGTGCAATAATCATATCTGGTCACTCGCTCGCCACTTCACTGTTTCTTTAAAGGTCAACTCTGTCTTTTGCACCATGTTACATGCATTTTTAGGAGGTAATATGTAACATGATGCAAATGTTAATTCAACCCCCATGAGATATATGTGAATGGATGAACTACAAGTCCTGTCTGCCACTGCAGCAGATGGACTCATAATTCTGAATGGATTACTGCACTTAACGTCTTTTGACACTTCCTCCAGCTCCCCAAAGGAAAGGCTTGGTATAGGCATGAAGCTTGAGGAACAGTCTGCAGGAGCCTGGTATTGCACTTCTGATCCAAGGATTGCGAATGCAAGGCTTTGCAGGCATCTGTGAAAAAATAATAAAACGCACAATTTTTTTTTTAGCAAATATATGTGCACTTACAGTGATACCAAACACACACTGTTTAACCAGTTTCTCTCCGCCCTATAGAATAGTAAGAATTATAGAAAAGGTATGAAACTTAGCTCTGTGGAGTTTAGCGATAGTTCAGTCTAGGTCACAGCCCCAGATCCTCGTATGTGTATTTCTTAAATTGCACATCAAGCCATTCATGACAGGACAGCACTGTGAGGTTTAACTTACTCAGCTCTAACGCAGCAGTATATTGAAGAAATCCTAACAGCCAGCCACCCCTTTCTGTTATCTCCTCCTTTCAGGAAAGTCCTTGTATTCCTTTCACAGAATAAGGCACATTCTGCAATTAAAGGGAGAGGCAGATGAATGACAGGATCCTCTCTCCTATTCACAGAACACATCAAGACTTCTGTTTGATCTCTTCATTTTGCAATTTGAAGGAAATTGGGTTCACATGACTTGCATTTTTTTTGTTATTCGACAATGTGATGGGGCAGGTAAAGGGGATGCTGTAGCAATGTGATGTGGATGCATGTACCAGCCTTATATCTTTTATGACTCCCCATAAGGAATGTACCTTTATCTGTCTGTTAGGCTTAGGAGCATTACAAGTTTTATACACACATCAGTGGAATTAAAATGTACAGTGAGTGTATGTGTGTATACAGTATCTCACAGAAGTGAGTACACCCCTCACATTTTTGTATATTTTATTCTATATTTTCATGGGACAACACTGAAGAAATGACACTTTGCTGCAATGTGACGTAGTGAGTGTACAGCTTGTATAACATGTAAATTCGCTGTCCCCTCAAAATAACTCAACACACAGCCATTAATGTCTAAACCACTGGCAACAAAAGTGAGTACACCCCTGAGTGACAATATCCAAATTGGGCCCAATTAGCCTCCCCGGTGTCCTGTGACTCGTTAGTGTTACAGGGTCTCAGGTGTGAATGGGGAGCAGCTGTGTTAAATTTGGTATTATTGCTCTCCCTCTCTCATACTGGTCACTGGAAGTTCAACATGGCACCTCGTGGCAAAGAACTCTCTGAGGATCTGAAAAAAAGAATTGTTGCTCTACATAAAGATGGCCTATGCTATAAGAAGATTGCCTAGACCCTGAAACTGAGCTGCAGCACGGTGGACAAGACCATACAGTGGGTTAACAGGACAGGTTCCACTCAGAACAGGCCTTGCCATGGTCGACCAAAGAAGTTGAGTGCACGTGCTCAGCGTCCTATCCAGAGGTTGTCTTTGGGAAATAGATATATGAGTGCTGCCAGTATTGCTGCAGAGGTTGAAGGGGTGGGGGGTCAGCCTGTCAGTGCTCAGACCATATGACGCACCCTGCATCGAATTGGTCTGCATGGCTGTCGTCCCAGAAGGAAGCCTCTTCTAAAGATGATGCACAAGAAAGCTCGCAGTTTTCTGAAGACAAGCAGACTAAGGACATGGATTACTGGAACCATGTCCTGTGATCTGATGGCACCAAGATAAACATATTTGCTTCAGAGGGTGTCAAGCGTGTGTGGCTGAAACCAGGTGAGGAGTACAAAGACAAGTGTGTCTTGCCTACAGTCAAGCATGGTGGTGGGAGTGTCAGGGTCTGGGGCTGCATGAGTGCTGCCGGCACTGGGGAGCTACAGTTCATTGAGGGAACCATGAATGCCAACATGTACTGTGACATATTGAAGCAGAGCATGATCCCCTCCCTTCGCAGACTGGTCCTGCAGGGCAGTATTCCATCATAACGACCCCAAACACACTTCCAAGATGACCACTGCCTTGCTAAAGAAGCTGAGGGTAAAGCGGATGGACTGGCCAAGCATGTCTCTAGACCTAAACCCTAGTGAGCATCTGTGGGGCATCCCTAAATGGAAGGTGGAGTACAGCAAGGTTTCTAACATCCACCAGCTCCGTGATGTCGTCACGGAGGAGTGGAAGAGGGTTCCAGTGGCAAACTGTGAAGCTCTGGTGAACTCCATTTCCAAGAGGGTTAAGGCAGTGCTGGAAAATACTGGTGTCCACACAAAATGTTGACACTTTGGGCCCAATTTGGACATTTTCACTTAGGGGTGTACTCACTTTTGTTGCCAGCGGTTTAGACATTAATGGCTGTGTGTTGAGTTATTTTGAGGGGACAGCAAATTTACATGTTATACAAGCTGTACACTCACTACTTTACATTGTAGCAAAGAGTCATTTCTTCAGTGTTGTCACATGAAATAGAATAAAATATTTACAAGCATGTGAGGGGTGAACTCACTTCTATGAGACACTGTATGTGTATGTATATATATTATGTATGTACCTAGCTAGCAGGTGGGAAGCCTCGCTCTCGTCATTCACTGCATGCTCTGCTAGTATTTATGGAGTCATGTCAAAGCTTACTGAGCTTCAAAGAGGGGAAATTGTTGGTGCCGCTTAGCTGGTGCCTCTGTGACTGAAGTTGCATCTTATTTGCGGTGTCGCGTGGTACAGTATCAAAGGTTATGATGGCATATACAGTTTCTGGGGAAACGTCGCCTGATCAGCATAAGCACTGTTGACATGGTCAGCTGACTGAAAAAGACAAAAAGGATGTTGCGCAGGACTGTGACCCAGAATAAGAAAACAGCTGCCTCAAAAGTGACTGCAGAGCTCAGTCTTCTAAAGCCCATGTCCACAAAAACTGTGTGAAGGGAACTCCATAAGCAAAACACTGGTAACCAATATTAATGCTCAGAAGAGGAGAGAGTGGTGAAACACCCATAAATCGTGTACAATTGTTCAATAAAAGACTATAATATAGTCCATTGAATCGAGCATCACACTGTTCCCAACCACTTGTTTATATGTAGCAAACACTGTCCCAAGCTTACCACTAGGACTGTCTTGTGCCAGGGTTAAAGCATGGTGGTGGCACAATCATGGTTTGGGCAGCCATATCTTGTTATTCTGCAGACCCATTATCACCTTGAGAGGGGAGTTACTGCCAAAGACTGTACACATTTTGGCCGACCATGTGCACCCCTTGATGTAAACATTGTTTCCCGAAGACAACGCCATTTACCAAAATGATAATGCTCCAATTCACACAGCTAGTGTTGTCAAATTGTGGTTTTACGACCATGCAGATGAAGTCTCGTACCTTCCTTGGGCACCGCAGTCCTTGGGCTGGTTTTCTATCTCCGGCATCTCTGTGAGGACTGGAACTATTTTTGCATGAAGAGTAGTATCAGATTCCATTATCCACCGTCCAAGACTTATATTTGTCAATGCCCAGCTTTTCCAGAGTTCAGGTCGTCTTGGATGCCAAAGGCGGTCCAACACCATATTGAGTAATGATTTTGTTGTTTCACCTTGTGTTTCCATAATGCTTTCCAGCCTCTGTATGTGTGTGCATAAATATATAAATTTTTATATATGTTATTTTATTATTTAAAAATTTTTTTAAGTATGCAATATGTTTGGTGTATCAATCAGTAGACTTTATGATAATGTGCCTTTTCAATAACGGTTTGTTCTGTTTTGTCCTCTCTCGCTCAGTTGGGGTGTTATCTGGGATTTGCTTCTACATGGAGACACCTTCTTACCCTGAGCTCAGACGATAAGCAAAGGTTTGTCTTTTTGTGCAGTTTTATATACCATGTAGTAATGATATATATTCAGTCAATAGGAACCTCAGGCAGATATAAAATGAACAAATAACTCCTTCCAACAGCAGCAGCAGCCCTCTTAATAGGGTTATTATGCCTGGAGGTGGGAAGGACCAGGTGATTTAATTGGCCATTGCAGTGATCACACGCTGGCTTCCATGCATTCCTGGAGAGCATAAGTTGTCTTTGACAGCTTGGTCCCTGTGCTTGTAGCCCATGGACGCATATGTGCGGCATGTGGGCGTTAAAACCCACCCTCCTTGCCCATGCGCATATGAGCAGCAAGCGGTTAATGAATTCCTGTGTATATTCATACATCCTTAAAGAGACCCTGTCGCCACATCAACTCATTTCAACACAAATCTTCCGTAAGATTATATGTGATCTTGTTGTATGGTTTTCATCCTTTTTACCTGTAAAAGCCTCCCTTGCATGGACATCCAAAAGCCCTGCTGCTTGGTGCACCATCTTAAATGTAATGTTAGCAGCCTCAGAGGTGTGACTCAACTGACATTCTACAGTATTCTCTTCTACTTCTCCATCAGCAGCTACAAAGAAGCTTATGAAGGGGACGGGTGAAGGAGCCTAGGCCAGCAGAGATAGCAGTTAGAAACTTCTAGAAGAGAGGAGGGCTATGATGTGCGAATAGGGAGTGGCTGTGCTAGGGAACTGACTAGTCAATTTTTCTAGTAAGTTCTGAGGCCCGTTGCAAACTCTGCAAATAAGCATTTAAAATGTTTGATTTTTGTGATTTACCTGTCATTTTCAAGTTAGTGGCAGGCTCTTTAAATGTATTTTTTAATTGCCTGCAATTTAATTACCCAAATTTGACTTATCAGCCTCTTGCAGTCCCCACAATGCAGACTGGTAGAGGGAAAAGCAGCACAAGAAGCATGGTAATGAAGGAGAGAGCAAAACAAAAGAGAAACTAGCTTATCGTCAATCTGCTGCTTCTCTTGTCACTGTCAAGTCTCAAACTAGGGGAACAGACAAGACCTGCAAGTGCCACTTAAAGTGGACATTCACCGATCCAATGCAATGGGTATCATTTCACTTCCTTCCCCTATCCCTAATGTCAAATGTAAGAAAAACATTTTTAAAAAAGCTCCATCCCTTAGCTGCCTTTCCTACCCAGGCAAGCATTAAGTCTTCTGTGCTCTTGTGTTCTGAAGCCTCCATTCTTGTGGGTGGACCTGGCAGTATGCCATCACGTGGCCTAGTTGCCTGCACCCTTGAGAGGTACCCAGCACCTGATGACAAAGATGGAGGTGTGGGACCCAGGCTGTGGCTACATAGGTGAGTATATGAATGACAGCTGCATGACTGGCAAGGGGAGAGGAAAACTGAAGCTCCTCTTTAACTTCAACAGCCACTTCTGTATTCTGTGTTTCTTATTTAGGTCTCATTCACTTGGGCACTGAGGCCCCTACAGTGTGAATAGGCCATTTTGTGCAGCGTGCCTAGATTCCAGTTGCTGTGTGCAGGCAGCTCATTGAAGTCTACTAGGACTCAGCAGTATACAGGCCTTGGCTCCTGTGTGAACAAGGCCTTATGCAGATCAACCATGACTGCAACGGTTGGAAATATGAGCAAATCAGAGATCCCGCTAAGCCAAACGTAGAAAGAGGGTAAAAAGCTGCATTATATTTGGTATGAATGATCCACAAGTACAGTACAGTGAAGAAGTTTAAAAGGTTCACTTCGGCCTATTCTGAAGATGCTTACGTGGGTGAAATCCTTGAAGTTTTGGCACTACAAGGGGTGTATATTGGGTGATTCTGCATACAATGAATATTTGTTTTACAGCAAGAAGATTAAAACACTGGACTCCCTAATCAAGATGATCCAGAGCTTTCCTTGTGATGACCCAGCAAGTGACAAACTCCAAGAAGACATGGCAAAGATCCGGGGAAAGGTGAAGCAGGTCAGTGTGATGCATTTCTTGTAGCTCTTGATGACATAGTGCCACTTCCCTAGTGGTTTATAAACCATGTCAGTGTAGTGGTAAATCATAGTGATATCAGCCTGCCACAGTTTTCTGCAGAGGTGGGCTCGAATATAATGGGTTACTCATTATACTGCAATTGTTATAACAACTTCTATTCTCAATGTGTAACTCTGGTCAGGCAATGGGCATATAAAATATTATATAATAATAATAATATTACTTTTATCAAAGAATAAGCTCCCACTGACCTCTGTAGCTGCAGGCACTGTGGAGCACTTTGTCTTCAAAGCTCACAGAAGAAGCACTAAAGTGGTTCTCTTCCCCTGCTCTCCCTCCCTGTAGGAACCAAACTACTTGTTAAGTATACTGTATGTAAGTATTGACTTCTAGACCAAAGCTATGTAACATAGGGGCAGAGAGTAGCTTGTTTTTTATTTTTATTTAAATATTTATAAATTTTCAAGTGAATAAATTATGCAAACTTACTCTTTTAAAAACATTAACACAATTACAATACAATAATCATATCACCTATTTCTACTCCCCCTACCTCCCCCCCCCCCTCTCCCCAACCAACCCCCCTCCCCCTCCACTCTGCATTTTCCTAATCCTTTGTGGAGATCCACATCCTCCAAAGAGAAGAAAAAGGTGTACTTGTATTATTTTGTGTCATTATTCCCCCATACATTCTATATTTAACTTTTTGAATTTTTTAATTCCTCCCATTTGTTCCATCTTATATAATATCTCTCCATCTTATCTTCCTTCATATGGTAAAGTTCCTCCATCTTACATATTTGATCCACCCTGCCAACCCAGTCCTCTATTTTTGGCACCTCCTGTCTCCGCCAGAACTTGGGTATTAAGCCCTTTGCTGCATTCAAATAATACAATATACCAGATTTTTTATACTTTTTGACTGAGAGCCCAGTGCTATGAAAAAGGCAAGTCTCTGGATCTAATATAATGTCAACCTCTGTAATTTTCCAAATCAGGTACACTATTTTATCCCAGTACTCCTGTATTTTAGGACACTTCCACCATAGGTGATACATAGTGCCTCTACCTCCACATCGCCGCCAACACAAAGGTGAATTATTTCTACTCAATCTGTGTGCCACACTCGGTGTAATATACCATCTTGCCAAACATTTGTAGTTCATTTCCTACCTCCCGCATGTTTATATTTTCATGAATTAATCTATACATTTTTTTCTGTTTTTCCTCATCTATTACACCTATGTCCCTTTCCCATTTTTTTTTTATATATGGTGGCCTTATATCTGTGCTTATTTCAGTGAGGATCTTATATATTTTAGAAATTCCGTGTTTCCCATCTCCCTATGTATCCAATAGCCATTCAAAAGGTTTCCAATCCTTTCTAGTTCTTAAGGGTTTTGGAAGCTTCCCTACAAAGTGTTTCAATTGATAATACCACCACTCGTCCATTCTCGTGAAAACTTCTCCCTTTTTCTTTTCCAATTCCTTGAGTGACCCCATTTCCTCCCCCACCAATATATCCCTTAATTGTGCATCTTCTTCCTTGATCCACTTCCCTGTGATACCCTCTTTACCGAAGAGAAAGAACTCTGGATCCTAATGGCATTAACAGTGAATTAAATTCCCATCCCAAAGAGAGTAGCTTGTTGAGCCTAGTGTCGACTTTCAAGAAGTCAAAGCTTACCCCTTGTAGCTAGCTGTTCCACAAAATGTGACAGCCTTCATATTTTAACTATAACATCAGTGATCATTTTGTTTACGTGGGTTAATTTTGTTTCTGCTGGGTACCTCTGCTGCTATATATATATATATATATATATATATATATATATATATATATATATATATATATATATTTTTTTTTTTTTTTTTTAACAGGGCATCCTATTTCACATACCCAGTTCATTGAAAGAACCACTTGACACTTACCTCCAAGTTTTCTGCACAAATACAATATTGTAATCATATCACGAAGACCAGTAATCAAGATCTTTTTAAAGTGTGTCCAGACATTATACAAAATTACCTCCAAACCTATCCTCCACCTCTAGAGCATGCCCCAGCATTCATTTGTTTGCCTTTTACTTTGTTTCTGTAGCGAGGAGCATCTTTATTACTGTGGCATCACCACCAGGCTTGTAAACGTTTTGTAGGGGCAACTACTGGAATCTTGGTTCTTACTGACGTAGGCACACTCAAAAACTACACCTCCCAAGAGCAATTTCCCTACACACACTGTGTGGGCAAGCTTTTTGGATTAAAGGCAGCTGCATTTTTTCTTGCTGGAGAAAGAAATCAATGTATGAGTGGAACAGGTATTTTCCTGAGGTCCAGCAGGCAGGATAGCAGTGCTGGTTGGGATTTGATTTCAGCAGAGGCTTAAACAGGAAGTTAGGAACTCAATGGATTTCTGGCAGATCAACCGGCAATTTTTTTTTAAAATTGCAGCAATTGGAAAACTATAACAATTGCAAGAATTAATAATTGTTTTGTTCTTTTTAATTCGCCCTAACATACACATAGGGATCTTATTTATAAAAAATTTGCTTTGTAAATGTTTCAAACATTTGTACAGCCACCCTGTACAAAAAACCCTTATAATTTTCCTAATACATTTATTTCTACCTCCATCTAATGGCTATAGTGATGTATTTTCCTGAAATACCTCAATTAGGAAAATACTGCAATATGTCCACTAGTTGTAGCTGACAATCATAGGAAATACGCATATTAACCCCTTGGCACCAGCACCTCCCGGCCCTTTAAAGGTTTCAGAAGCCAGGAGGCGGGGCGGGGTTTTAGCGTCATGTGACCGTTGTGATTCGCTGTCACGGCGGTCACATGATCGGGAAAGGTCCCTATCGAAAGAGGAGATCAGGACCTTTCCGTGTGTACCGGACATGTGTGCTGGGAGCGCGCTCTCAGTACATATGTTTTTCTTAATTGCATGCAAATGTGCGACCGCTTGGCATCAAGGCCCAGACGCCGGGAGGCCGCACATGTGTGTGCAGCCGGCGCCAAGAGGTTAAGCAAATTATGGGGGTTATTCATGATTATTTGTGACGGCTGTGCGAATGCCTAAGACATTCGCACATAATTGGAATCCCTTATATCTGGCTATAATCCATGGAGATTTGTAGGGAGAAAAATGGAGAATCCAACAAGAAAGGGTGGTCCCCTATATACCCAAAGGCGCATTTGACCACCATAACTGGGGTCAAAGGATCTGGTGTAGGTGAGTCATCTACACGTCACGGTTATGAACATGCGGTGAAGATCACAGTCACATTTATTTTTTATATATTTTTTTTTTATTTATTTTTTTTTTTTTTTTTTTTTTTACTCTTTGGAATTTTCTATTACTCTATTTTGGGACAGTTACAAGAGTTGTCATTATACTCATGGTTTTTTTTTTACAATATCTTTTTGGTCTAAGTACATTTAGCCACTCAAGGCCACATCACTCTGAATGCTCCCAATCTTGTCTAATCTCGGAAGCTAAGTAGGGTCGTACCTGGATGGGAGACCGCCTGGGAACATCCGGTGCTGTAGGCTAAAAATTTTTTCCATGGACCAAAATTGAGTTAACCCTCAGGTGGTATTAATCTAGTACTTATTGCACTATATGAAGTTTATTGTTTGGGCAAATGTAGCGCCTTTCTATTTATATTTTATTTGCACATAATATTTCTTTAGAAATACACCCTCTTTTATAAGCAGTAAGTCTCATACTTGTTTTGTTGTAAAATAGAGCTGTGTTTCTCTAAGGTTTTGTTGCATGACAGTAACGTATGCTCTTTAATACTTTTACAGGTTTGCTCCATGTTGAACATACAGCCTGATTTTAAAATGAATTATGAAGGCTCCGGACTATCCTTTTGATATGGAAGCTGTCTGCTGTGAACTGTCTTGCAGTGCCTTGCAGAAAGAAGGGCAAGCCAGGGGTGTTCTGCAGCTGAGAGATATCAGTGGGGAAGTACCAGGCCGTGTGATATTATTGGAGAAATATCAGGACCAAAGGATGGGTTATGACGAGAAGAGTTGAAATTGGCACTTTAACCGTTAGCCGCCCGGCCAATGGCCGTTTGGCGGCTTGAAAAGCGCTGCAGCTTTCCGGGTGCACGCCATTTGGCATGCTCCCGCACATGCGCGGTTTGCGCGGTTGCAGAGCGACGCAGCAGTGCAATCTGTCACCGCCCGTGCACCTCGGACACGGCCGATGACAGATCCGAGTACCGGCTCCCGTTGCCGGTACCATGTGACCTGCTGTGACCAATCACAGCAGGCCACATGACAGTTGTATACAATGGATGGCTTCATTCATGATGCCATCCATTGTATACTAGTGCCTAGCTGTGAATGGTCACAGCTAATCACATGCACATGTCATGTGATTAGCTGTGACCAAATCACAGCTAAGCACAAAAAAAAAAAAAAAAAAAAAAAAAAGCTGAATGAATCGATTTCATTCAGGTAAATGCTTGCTTATAGCAAAGTAATTCTTTGCTATAAGCAAATTGTGTAAAAAAAAAAAAAAATACTGATCACTTCCCCAAAGTAGTACAGTGTTACTATGGTAACATTGTACTATTTTGGTCATAGTAAAATCTGAAAAAAAATCTGAAAAAAAATAAAAAAAAATGTAATAAAAAATTAAATATAATAAAAAAATTAAAAAAATTTTTTTTTTTTTTTTTTCATACTGTCACCAATCAGTGTCGCTGTTCACCGCCATGCCAGTTATATGATGACGCTGTACTGCACTGGTGACAGTATGTAAAAAAAAAAATAGTGAAAATAGTTTTTTTAATTTTTTCATTTTCCGAAAAATTATGACAAAAAAATACAACTTCAAAAAACTCGCCATGCCTCTTATGAAGTACGTCGGACTGTCTACTCTGCAAAAAGGGGTCATTTGGGGGATATCTGTACTGTTCTGACATTCTTGGACCTCAAGATATTAGATTGGCTGTCAGTACTTCAGGATTGATCAATATTCAGATCTATACCATAGTTTGTGAACTCTATAACTTTCCTACAAACTAAAAAATACATCCTAATTTGGGTTATTTTCACCAAAGACATGTAGCAGAATACATCTCGGCCTAAATTTATGAAGAACAATTATTTAATTATAAACTTTTATAACAGAAACAAAGCAAAATGTGTTTTTTTTTTTTTTCAAAATTTTTGGTCTTTTTTTGTTAATTTAGCAAAAAATAAAAACCCCAGCGGTGATTAAATACCACCAAAAGAAAGCTCTAGTTGTGTGAAGAAAATGATAAAATTTTAGTTTGGGATACAATGTTGTATGACCGCGCAATTGTCATTCAAAGTGTGAGAGCGCTGAAACCTGAAAACTGGCCTGGGCAGGAAGGTGTAAAATTGCACGGTATTGAAACGGTTAAAGTGGTTGTAAAACATTACATATAACCAGTGAGGTGACTATCCTAAGGTGATACACAGAGATTAAACAAATCCTCCTACATAAGTTGCAGATAGCAATGGAAGGAGGCAGCAGACATAAATGACACTTAGTGCTCTGGATTGAAACAACTACACACGATAGAGGGATATGCTTTGTTTCTATTTCATTTCTGAAGTTTACAACCACTTTAAGGCAATGTTGTCTAGAACCATCCTTAAATTTATGGATGGGATGGAAAACGCAACCTTAAAGTGTTAGTTTATGTATAACAGAAAAAATGTAAAAGTGAACTAATGGAGGACACCTTTCCAACCTCCCCTTCCTCCTTTCCCCAGTCCTCATTGTATTTACCTCCAGGGTTGCTGAGTTGTCAGCATCCCCTCAGCCCATCCAGCGGTCCAGAGATTTTAAATCTCCGCTCTTCTCCCTGTTTTCCGTGCAGCACATCAGAGACAAGCCAAAGAAACTATTATTGATCAGCACTGTCACAGTAAATCGATCTGACCTGCCCAGGATGCGCTGCACCCAGAACAGGGAGAACAGCATTGGACCAGCTGCGGGGTTGCTGACAGCTCAGCAACCCCGGAGGGAATTACAGCGGGGACTGAAGGGGTAGGAAAGGTGTACAGTGTTAACCTTTACATTTTTGTTCTGTAAAGCTGAACCAACCCTTTAATAAAAAAACTATTGTGTTGAAATGTTATGAACCAAATGTTTTTTTGTTGTGATTTTACCAGCTTATAGATCAATATACAGACTTGCACTGAGAGAGGGAAGTCATTGTACAGTATAACTAAGGTGGAAGTGGAGTCTCCACATGTAATTGGCAAATATGGCTACTCTCGTGTTCATCTACTGTACAGCTACAAACTGCAAAAAAAAATAGGTTTCTTTAAACCGTTAAAGTGTTACTAAATCCACAACAGTACAATCAGTCCGTACATGCAGTAAAGCATGCTTGTTATACTCCCTGTGGAACCTAAGGGGTTAATCCTCATTGATCCTGTATTCTCTGATCCTCCCATTCCTCAGTCCCCAATCCATCTGCTGATAGTACAGAGTCCTGGGAGACCATCTGCACATGCTCAGTTTGGTGTGTATTGCTAGAGTGTCTTTTTATTTTTTGAGAGGGTGCATGTGATCAGCACAGGGCCAATCAGCACTGTCCAGGCAGAGGATCAGGGGTCATGCAGCCTCATAGGACAGTCAGAGGAGATAGAAAACTCATCCTATAAGCTTTAACTATTGCTCGGCTGGACACCGATAGAAGTCACAAGACTGCTATATACTGCTCATGAAAAATTGTATTTAGCAGTTTATATTTACTAATATATTTGCAATTCCATGTTCTGTGTACAGGGGGAGACCAGATATAGTGAATGCAGGGGCGTTAACATTAGTAACACTTTAATGTTAATTGCAAAATCCTAAATGATATACGGTATATGGTGCAGGCTGCCAGTAGCATTGCAACATGGGTTTTATTACCTGTTGATCCTGCCAGTAGATCCATTATTTTTTTACTTCCTTTAGCAGGCCAGTCTGTTAAAAGTAGGGGATAAGTTCACCTTTTCCTGAAAAATTAAGGGTTTAATAAACTCCAGATATCTTGGTCACCGATCCAGACCCCGCTGCACAACTGTGATGCCCTACGTTGCTATTGTAGCGGACTGTACATTGCATTACACAGCCCTAGAGTGAGTATCCATCTTAAGGCTTGCAATGGCAAGCACTCATTGGTCAGCTTGGACAATGAGAATCACATCTTTATTCAGGAACACACCTTACTGGAAGAATAAGTCCCATTGGTTTCCACGGTCACATGACTATGCTGACCAATAAGGGCTTGCCATTGCAAGTGTTATGATGAATACTCACTCCTCGACTGTGTATTGTGGTGTACATACAGCTACACCGGCAGCACAGGGCATCAGGGCTGCTATATGTGGTAGGGTCCAGAGGAGTGGCCAGAATATTTGGCGATTAGTTAACCTTTTCATTTTTCTAAAAAAGAAATGAACTTGCCATTTTAAAGTTCTAAACTTTTGCATCTAAGGACTGCTTTTCCTCTAATGCATTGTGGTAACACCCCGAAAAACACTATTTCCACCGCACATTACGACAAACTCATGGCAACATACTGTAGTGTGTTATGGTGCATGTGCCTTGTAACGCACTACAGCTCACAGATGTGAACAATCTCTGCCCTGCAGTGCGACAAGTTAAAAATGTGACATGGGCCATTTTAAGTGTAATTCTTCTCCCTCTGCTAGCTGTCACAATTTTGTTCTGTTTTGAAATTCTGTTCTGTGAATGAGAAACTACCTTTGCAGCTATCTGCTTATAGTTCTCACTGAACTACCATGGGAATGTTGAGCACTGTGGTAGCTCATTGATTTCACCTGTCAGTATGAAACTGCCTGCCTGTACGATGTTATGGGCTGACAGCTTACACTGACAGCCTACAGGAGTCCTGCATGGCACAAGCGATCTTTTGATCTCTGGTGTAATGCTTTCCAGGCTCCTGCAAAAAAATTGTGCATTTACTTTTTTTTGGAAAACGTGAACTTATCCTTTAAACCCCCTAAATGGCGGGCTACGGTGCTGCAACTGCATGGTTTTACACCCCCCCAGCCGCTAGTTTAACTTTAACAGGCATTGAAAATAATATTATTGTCTTAAAGGGCAACTCCACTTTCGTGGGGGAAAAAATTAGCAAATAAAAAGAAAATATGTATATATAGTATACAATTGTGAGACACGTCATATTGTAATTGAATGTTATTAAAAATTACCTTTGTTTTTCAATCTGTAGCGCTGTAATTTTCTGTAAAATGTAATGCAATATGGAAACCTGGAGGTGTTCTGCACACAGATGGTGTACAAAACACCCCCTGAAAATGTAATTTCCTGCTTGAATGATTGGCTCAATGATTTTCTCAGAATTCTACACGAAGGTACTCCCCTGCAACAAAAATGTAATTTTTGGTTAGATTACTCCCAAAGGGAAATAATGTTTAAAGGGATGTAGACCTTGTCAATTTCCTTATTCGAGCCCTGCAGGTACAGCAGTTGATGGATAATTAGAAAACCACTCCCATTAGATTCACTTTGCACATGGACACAGACAAACAAACAGCTATTTCTCCAGAAGCGAATAGCAAATGGTAGGAATCTGCAACAAAGTTTGTTAAAATCCTTGCAATGTAGGGGAGTTACTCTTTAAGGTTATAATGATGTTCACATACAGACCTTTTTCTTTGTTTTTAATGTATCAAAGCTAGTCATGATTGCAGAGGAGAATAGGGCAGAGTAATTTATTAAAGGAAGACAGTACACTTTTTTTACTGCCCAACAAAAACCAAACCTTTTCAGGACTGCAGTGGAGATGTATTCATTACAAGTATGTATATAGCAACGACAATTTACGCATCACTTTACATACTGTACATTG